CGATAGCTGTTCCTTGATCACAGGGGTTCCAAACTGGGGTGGGGTGTGAGACGATATTCCAGGGGGTATGAAAACTTGGGTTTAGATGTTTCAAAATTATAGTGTATAGGCATAATTATATGCATATCATTATCTATTTTTGCTGATCACTAAAGGGTATCAATATTCCTGTTTCTAATTATATCATCCGCCTTTGATCAAAACTGTGAAAAAAGGCAGTTGAGCTCACTGGACATCTTTAGCTGCTGATAAAAGCAGGGGTTCCCAACCTTTTCTATACCTCGCACCCCTAAAACACTTCTGATATATTCTCGCACCCCCTACAAAAATAGATAATGATATGCATATAATTATGCCTATACACTATAATTTTGAAACATCTAAACCCAAGTTTTCATACCCCCTGGAATATCGTCTCACACTCCACCCCAGTTTGGAACCCCTGTGATCAAGGAACAGCTATCGGGGGCCCCAGTTGAGAAGTTGGCAAACTTTATGACTACACCGTTCCAGACCTAATTAGCAGAGGGAACTGTATGTGTATACAAGGAGGTGTAATTTGGTTTTTGCCAGATGCTAACTAGGAAGGTAACATAAATGAAAGATATAAAGGCAATAACTCTTGTTTTTATGCGATTTTTGTATTACTTGAAGAAGAAGAAAGTCTTGAGAGCAACCTGACGTGTTTTAAAGTTTTAAATAATTTGGGATGCTATTTATATATATATAAATATATAAATATATATATTAAAGGGATTGTAATGAAACTATAGAAATGAACCTTTTAAGAAAATGCCACCTTTTGTGGGGGGGACCTAGGAATAGACAACCTCAACCTCCCTCTATATAGCTCCTTAATAATAGCTTTACAACAACTCCAATTTGCAGTTTTTTTAAAAGATAAAAACAAGGAATAACTCTTCCTGTGAAAGTCAAAGAATTTATAGACTTTTTAAAAAATGTATCTTTCCTTTATGTAACATGTCTATTTAGTGCCTTATTAAAAGAAACAGTAAGCCTCCCTTTTTTTTTTCTTTTGCAAAAATAAATAAAAGAGGGGGAGATTCTATCATTGGTAGTGATAGGAACTTCCATAGTATGGTCACTTTTCTTTTCGATCAATCCTGGGATTTCAAGTTTTCTCTCTTTTTTTTAAGTCTGTACACTTGATTCCTTTACATCCAGTCTAATGTATTTATTTACATGAAGCACTCTTTGCTCATCTTTTGCCATGTGCTTGGTAGGTAGCATAGATACCTGCTATGCACATATCCTACCCTAGTAGGTAGTAAAATTGTGGTAGAGAATATAATCAAGAGTGTCAACCAAAAGAAACCCTCTTGAGCCAAAATTAGTAAACAGTAATTTTTGTGGGTTTTTAAAAACTTTTTTCTCCCTCCTTGGATCTGTGGTTTTTACTAGACACCTGTATACATAAATACAATGCCTAAATTCTCTACCATAATTAAAGAACCATCAGCATGGCTGCAAGATACTAAGTCACGGGAGTGCCTTGTACAAAATGAACCAAAATTTGGGACTGGTGTTGAGTTGGCATCGTTGGGTGCACGTTACAATCATGGCCGTGCAATGGCATGGGTGGAGGGGGGGGGGGGGCATGACCGGTTGGCCAGAGCCTTTCTAAGTTTGCCAGGGTTGTTCCCCCATAATATGGTGGAAGCAAACTTTCCTCACTTGCCTTGTGAGGTTGGCCAAACGAAACGCAACAGTGGAGGAGAAAGAAAGGGATAAATAGAAATCGTAAAGAGGTGGAAGGAGTGGTTTGCACAAGTGTTTCTGATATTCTAAAACTCAGCTGCCAACTTTGTTCCTGTCTCTTCTCTACGTTTATCAGAAGACTTGATACATAGCAGTGAAGAAAAGAAGTGACTTTTCCCTCATTGGGATGAAGTGGTATGAGGGAGAAAAAATACTTAGTTCCACTTCTCTGTGTCAGCTTCTATTAACTAGACAAGAGCAGGATCAGAAAAGAAAAGATGGCATCTTTTCCAACAAAGAAAACAGATAGGATTTATTACACCAGGACAAAATGAAATGTCCAACTTTGCTTATTTTTTTCTGAGCTGCTAATTATCTTCTCTTCCTCCCCTTGTGTCTGTACTTCCCATGGGAGTATTTAGTTGACTCAACCAACCAC